GCCAGTGGATCGACATCACCGATGTGCCCCCTGGAGAATACCTGTTCCAGGTGAGGGGGTCGGGAGGACACCACGCCCCCTCCCCTCAGCCTCCTTCCCGTAGGAAGGAGCTGGGAACAGGCCATGGAGGCCAGGCTGCGTCGAGGCAGGTGCCGTACAGAGGCCATTGTGGTCTAGCAGGTAACCTAAGTGAGTGAGGCAGGTGGGCGCGCAGGGCCTGGGGGGGACCTAGGATGCCTGGGACGTTTGCAGGTAATTCAGTTCACTCCTGAAGCTTCCAAACACAGAGGCATCTGCCGGCTGACTCGGTTCTTGAGCCAGGTCTTGGATCCCCAGACTCTGAAGCAGTGCCCAGCTTTGGCCTCCTTTCGAGCTTCTCTCCCCTCTACTCTGAGTTTCCCCAGTGCCCTCACCCTGCCTGGACCTGTGATGTGGAGGATGGAAGAGATCGCATAAAGAGCGGCCACTCACGAGTGTGGGTGAGCTCCCTTCTCTCAGAGAACAGGGTCTGCAGAGACCACCGTCCACACAAAGAAATGAATCTGTAACGGTAGAACAGCAAGTACTATGGACAGCCTGGCCTGCTGCCTGTTTTGTGAGGTCTTCCTAGGGCTTCCACGTTTTGTGCCAAGGGGGATGGCCAGCCCTGGGGAGGAGGCAGGGAGCCTTGGCCTCCCACCTTCCTGCAAACAGTGGCAGCACCACCCAGGGCCTACCTGGTAGAGGACACGGGGCTGTTACCTTGGCCTCCCCTCCCAGTGCATAGCTGCAGTGGGGCTGACAGAGACATTTCAGCACATACCCACCCGTCCTGCTTTCCTGCCTGCCCTGTTGGGTGGCAAAGCCAGTGACCAGAATGAGTGATTCTGCCTTGCACTCTCTCCCAAGAGGGCACTGAGCCAGCCCAGGTTTGGCCCATAGTCCCCGCCACCAGACACAGTTCCCCTGAGGAACTGGCACCTGCAGAGCAGTGACCACAGGGGCTCTGAGAGGCCGCCCTGGCAGCACTGACGGCCAGGAGTCAGACAGCCAAGCCCTTTCCACCCACAAGCCTGAACCGCAGATTTGGAGAGGCCCAGCCACGCGGCTCTTTATTCTAAAAAATGAGTACCTGTAGCTGTATGCACACACAGTGCCTGGTGACTTGGGTTGGCGGTTTGCCAGTGACGAGGTACCACTGTGTATGCTGACAAATGCCATGGATTTAATGACCAGTACTATGGATGATTTGTGCTGGGTCAGCCCTGCTTTGGCCTGGTGAATGCATCGACCCATTAAACACAGCCGGGAAGAGGTCTTACTGTCCTCGTTTCACAGCCAGGCAAACCCAGCTCACACTGGGTCTGTAGTTTGTTTTCGACCCTTAAACTATACGATTAGCGAATGGACTTGTGATGGGTGTCTTAGTGCTTCTGATGAGTTGAAAGTGGAATATTTCCTCAGTGTAGACACGGAGGTTTCAGATGTCTGAGAGCCCCAGACAGGAGGTCGCAGCCCACGAGTGTCCACTTCATTGTAGGGAGAGGGCACTGGGGGTCAGGGATTGGGATTCCAGGCTGGGACCTTGTGCCAGACACAAGCACAACTCAGTGGGCCGCTGTGTTTCAGCTGTCCTTGCTTTGTCTACTTTCTTGTCATTTCCCAGATTCACAGAAATGCAGGACACTAAAGCCCTTCCCATGGATGCCAGGAGCGCGGGATGGGCCTGTGGGGACCACATATGTCTGCCCCCATCTCCTCCACCCCATGAAGGTCACGCTAAACCTGATGGCTCCAACTTGGCCCTTACTGTGTCCCACTGCCCTTGTAGCTGCATCTCAGGGACACCTGGGTGGACAGGGGATGGCTGGGCTGAGGTGTGAGCCATGGTATGCCCCCTGTCATGTGGGTTGGGCTGAGGGGCTAGCTCGGTTACTGAGTACCAGAGATCAAAGAAAAGTCAGGCCACTCTGGAGCATGACATTTAGTACCTGGTCAGCAAGGACAGGTTTTGCCAGCCAGGCCAGACTCAGGTCCTCCATGTGGCCCCTGCCGGGCCAAGCCACGGGCTTGCCTCAGTTTCCACTTGTTGGCAGACCCGCCTAATAAGGGACCCATCCAGGCCCTTCTGGAGCCCCACACCTGGAATGTTCCCTAGGGGCTGCAGCCCTGAGGGAAGTCCTGTCACTTGTGTCCCTTGCACCTTCACTCACTGCCCCTGACACAGCTTTTATGTCACCTCTGCCTCCTGCCATTTTCTTCTCTCCTCAGTTCATCCCAGACCTCTCCTTTCTGTCCCCTCACAGAATGCTATTGGCCCTTGGGCACAGAGCCAGGACCTGGGTGGTGGAGCAGAAAGGGATTTAGGATCGCCTGGTCCAACCCATGACTTACAAAGCAACTCACAGGCCCAGAGATAGGAAGGGGCCCGACGTCCTGCAGTCACCACTGCCCTGGGGCAGCCCTCTTCCTTCTGCCCACCCCGTCTCTGCAACCTGCCACACTCCTCGCCTGGATCCACAGCTCTGGAAGCCAAGCTAGCCTCAGTGGAGCCTGGGGCCCGGGCACAGGATGACCCAGAGAGAATTAGCAGCTTGCTCTGACTTGTTTCCTCCCAGGTTGTCATTAACCCCAACTACGAGGTCCCAGAGTCAGATTTCTCCAACAACATCATGAAGTGCAGGTGTCGCTACGATGGCCACCGCATCTGGATGTACAACTGCCACATAGGTAAGGCCCCTGGGCTGTCCGCCCTCGGGACCAAGCAGAGCTGCCTTATTTTCTCCAGGAAGCTGAGGCAGCTTCTTACTTGGGAGCAGAGCCAGCACCACACTCCTGAGCTAAGGGAGAGAGCAATGGGTTCCAGAGGCCTGGGTGGAGGCTGCGTCTCACAGCCAGCTCTGGCCCAGAAGAGGGCGGCACAGAACTGGCTGGCCCAGTGAGAGCAGACCCCAAAGCTTTTTAAAGGGTTTGAGTGGAGGCCACCAACTCATCATGCACATGGCCTCAGAAATGTGCGTGTCAGCAATTTGTGGGCTGTGTGTCAGGTTTTCCTCTGAAAAATTAGAACCGAGTGAACCATTGTTACCTCTCCATTTATGGCTTTTTTTTCTTGTATTATATAACTCAGGGGACAAAGAGGAAAGCAGAGCTTCCTCCGGTGTAGGAAGGTGCCAGTCCTCACTCCTGGTGACAGTAAAGATGAAAGACGCGATGCCCGGTGGCACTCAGCAATCCCGGCTGGGTAGGGCCTCGCATCTAATTGGCCAAACTCTCTCCCCAATTTCCCTCCTCAGGCGGCTCCTTGAGTGAGGAGACGGAACAGAAGTTTGAGCAGTTCAGTGGACTCTTAAATAACCACCTCTCCACACAGTAAGGAAGCCTCGGGGTCACCTCCTGCCTTCGGGTCACACCACATCTTCCAGCGGGCCGTCCAAACTCAGCTCAGGAGGAGGGTGCATCCTCCTTCACCAGGTGCTGCTGTGGCCCGGCCTCTTTGCCTCTCAGGCCTGGGCCCGCCTCGGGGGCTGGGCTTGGCCTTGGGGCTGTGGGAGCAGCGCTGGGAGCCAAGCTCACCCAGGGCCCCGGGTGACACGCAGGCTGCCATCCGCTGGTGCCGGCCGAGCCAGTCCATCCTGCATGTGACACCACGGGGCTGCGCACAGATCATATGGGGCCGTTTCTTGCTGCAGTTACAAGGGGCACAGGGGAGCTGTGAGCCCCAAGGAGGACAGGCTGAATCCCAGACTTGAACACAGACCTCTCTTCCAAGTCCGCCAACTGGCTCTGCTCAGTTAAGTGCCATTATGAGTGCAGTAGTCCACCCTTATCCACAGGATCCACTCCAAGATCTCAGTGGATGCCTGCAACCACTGTACCAGACCCTGTATGGGAAACTTCTTCCTATACATACCTATGGTAAGATCTTATTTAGGCTCAGTAGGAGATTAGGAAAAAGAGCAAATAATGAAATAATTGTAACAATATACTGTAATAAAAGTCTCACAAATGTGGCCTAATACCCTACTGTGCTTTCACTTTTTCACTTAAAGGAAGCACTTTCTGGTTTCTTTGGTTTATCTGAATTGCCAGCATCATGACTCATGCATTTGGAGGCCATTTTTCAGTAAAATAAGGTTTACTTAAGCACAAGCCCTGAGATACTGTGACAGTGGATCTGACAAGAGATGGCACTAGGTGGCTAACAGGTGGATAGCGTATACAGCGTGGATGCTCTGGGCAAAGGGATAAGGCTTGTCCCAGGTGAGACAGAGCAGGATGACGTATGATTTCATCGTGCTACTCAGGACAGTGTAAAATTTAACTCTGAAAGCGTCTCTTTCTGGAATTTTCCATTGAACATTTTTGGACCACAGCTGACCTGAAATGTCAGAGAACGAAACTGTGGATAGAGGAGGACTACTGTAATGCTTCCATGGTCTCCCATTACGTGCGCTCAGATTGGTGCTGATTTTGTTGGTGCTTCTCTCCACCTCCTCTTGCTTCTCAAGATACTATTGTATGTTCACAGCCTTTGAAATGTAAGTCATTTAGTGGCATTTAACATCGGGCATCGGGCCTTCAAAAATATAGCTCAAAAGAAAAACCAGCCCACCTGTGTCAGTGAGTCATCTTTCTGTGGTTCCAGTTCTGGGCTTACTGATTCAGGGGTGCTGTAACTTGGGTCCTGGGGCCAAGCCATCTCATTACACTCACACACCTGACACATGGACTGGAACGTGCATGACGCGCACCTGGCCTTCATCTGAACCACTGCACCCCAGGCCCCAGCTCCCTACATCCACTGCTGAAAAGGAGCTTCACAGGAGGCCCTGGTTCCTCTCCCCAGACTTGGTTCCCACACCCCCCACCATCCAGTGTGTCCGGGGGGGGGGCTCCTGAACACAGATAATGAAGGAAGCAACTACAATCCTCTGAGAAGTGATCTGGGGAGGTCACAAAAACATGAGATTCAGTTCTGTTCTGGAACTCCTTGTTGCTTTATACTGAAATTTGTCAGGGTAGAGCAGTTGTATCAGGACCAGAGGGGAGGGGATGGCTAGGGGCTTCTCTAAGGAGGGAGCGTGTGCAAAGAGAGCAAGGGCTCTATACTCTTCCCAACAGCAGCCAGGGTGGGTGGCCGGCCCAAGATGGCATGCTCACCCAGACCACAAAGCTCCAACTGAGGCCGCTTTGGCAGCCACACACTGCGGGAGCCAGCAGAGAGGCAGGCACAGGCGGCCTGCATTCAGATCTCACCTCTGGGCCTTGTGTGTTTCTACCTGGGAGGATCCCTCCTGTAACCTACACTGATGGTAACACCGTCCCAGAGGAAGGTGGGCATATGTGAAATGTCAGACCCTGGGCAGGTAGCACAAGGCAGGCACAACTACCCTCAAACAGGGTGGACTGTGGACAAGGGCCTCAGAGCCCTGACAGGATCCTCCAGGTCAAGGTTCCAGGGTGATCAGGTCTCCAGGCAGCCACAGGCACACAAGAGATGTGACAGCGCCCCCTAGTGTCCCATCACACCACATTTTGAAGCAATTAGAACCTTCGAGTTTTTATTTTTTCTTAATCTCTGGGATTAAACCAAACTAAAGCCCACCCGGTGGGCCCCATGGTGAAGCTCTGCAGAGGTGTAAGGTTCCTGACGTCTGTAAGGTGTAAGGTGTTGAGGCCCGGCTTAGTCTGAGTGGCCAGGCCTGGGGCCTTAGGATGGCAGATTACTTGAGCCGGAAGGCCGCTCTTTCTTTTTGTGTTGGAGCCCCAGAGCCTGGGCCACCAGTCTCCGGGCCACTGCTGCATCTGTCTGTGGCCTCTCCTTCACCAGTCGCAGGAGCTCTGAAAGGAAGACCCCACCGAGCGGGGGCCTGAGTCAGGGTTGTGGCACAGTGTAGCCTGGAAGCTGAGTAGCTGATGTCTGTGTGGGCAGGGCCCAGGCCCAGCTGCGTCACAGCAGCCGGAGGTTTGTGAGAGGGGCCTGTGAGACTGTGGACCGGTGACTCAGTGGAACCAGACACAAACCTGTAACCCTTGGAACCTGTTTTGCTGACTGTATGGTGGGAGTAGGGAGGGGTCAATGCTCCTGTCCTGCAGGATGTTTTGGGGGAAATCAAGTCAGGATGGTACAGACAGGACTGGGCAGGGGCCTCGTCGCCATCCTCATCCTGGCTGCCCTGGCAGACCTGCCCTCGGCCTGTTTCACAGTCATGGAAAACTGGCCTAAAGCCCCCAGCATGCTTTCTGGAAGGAGAAAAAGCAGGGACTAACTAATATTTATTAGTGAGTCTCAGCCCCAGGCAGTCTGCATGCTCATTTGTGTCTCCTGCCTACCCTGGGCAATCTGCTTGCTTTACAGGGCACGAAATGCACTCACAGGTTAAGTGAGTCAGCTGAGATAAGGGCCAGAGCCAGGATCCACCTAGGGCTGACCCCAGAGCCCAAGCACTTTCCACACCCTGAAGGAAGGCCAGGCTTCACCTGGCGATGCCCAGAGCAGGGGCAAGCAGGGCAGCCCCAGGCAGTGGCTGTAGACACCACTCCCTCTTGAAACCCCAGGAATGCTAGAGGGCAGAGCACAGCCCCCTGGGGTTCCTAAAAAGCAGGGAACTGAAAGAGGGGACTGCACAGGGAAGGGCTGCACGGCCCACACCAACATGTGCGCCTGCAGCCCCTGTTCAGGGACCAGTTTGCATCCTTACTCAGCCTCTGCAGGGCTCTGAGCTTTGACTGCTTGGTTCCCTCGGTGAGCGGCCGGATCTTGAGAATGGAGAACTCCTTGGTCAGGGCCTCGGTAGCTGGGGGAGGTGAGCGGATCTGGAATGTGGGCCTCTCCTCACGGCCACCCCACACCCAGCCCGGTTGGGCAATGCCACTCTGCCACAGCTCTGACTGGGCAAGAGACAATGGCCACCCACACCCTGCAGACCTGCCCAGGGGACGCCCTCCTGTCTCAGTGACACCGCAGCACCAAACAGGAGCCACACCAGCCAGGCTGCGATCCTCACAGACAGAGCAGGCTCACAGGAGATCCCTCCATGCACCACCTAAGATGCCCCAGGCACCTGCGCTCCCTGCCCCAGTCCTGCTCAGCCATGGAGCATCCGGGCTATCACAGAGCCCACGAGACAGCTGGGGAGGTCAGGCTCTTGGCATCTGTTGTTTTACAAACTGAGAGGAAAGCGGCCAAAGAGGGACAAGCTGGAGTCAGAGGCAGCTGTGTGGCGGCCCTAGCTTCGACATCAAAGGCTTCACGCTGGCATTCTGGGAACTCAGCCTCCGTCTGTGGGACGAGGCACCACCTCCCACCTTGAGGCTGACATGAAAACCCAATGAGAAAGCTTCTATATGAACCCTGAGTAACTGCCAGTACGGAAAGCTTGGGACCTGTAAAACCATCACTTTCTGGTGATCTCATTCAGCATGGGGACGGACCTAGGGCTTGGCCCGTGACCGCAGAACCAAACTCCTTGCTCAGGAGGCACCAACAGGATCACGAGAGGCTGGAGATGTCCCAAGAACCCCCAAACTGCAGCGCAGGCTGGCAGGGGCTGGAACCCGTGGACCCAAGATGACCTGCACCTGCACATAGGTGGCTCTCCAGCCCAAGAACCCAGGGTCCCCCGAAAATGCTGCTCAGAGACAGGGAGGAGCCCACCACAAAGCCCCCTTACCTGAGGCCAGGCAGGGGAAGATGCCGAGTGCGTGGGTGTCATCCACCCACTGGATCTTGAGCCCCTTGTCCCTGTGTGGAGAAGACACAGGTGGTTACAAATGCCAGTGGCCAAGCCCTTTCTTGTGGATCTCACAGGAAAGTTCCCTCCCACCTCCAATCCTGGAACACTTCGACCCCAAGACAAGATTATGTCTCTTCCAGAAAGGAGGTGACCATCCGCCTCCAGCTTTTTCTGAAGAGCATCTGATCAGCTTCACAAAGACAAATGTCACCCGTAAACAGGCCAGGCAGGTCCCCAGGGTCCACACTGAAGGACTAGGATTCAAACAGCTCCTACTTGGGCACAAGGCCGTGAAGGAGGCACCTCACTCACCAGCACCATCCCAGCCAGACAGATGTGGGCTCCAAGGCTGGAGGGTACAGGGTTTGTGTGGCAGGGAGGGGACAGGACACAGAACAAGCACATCTGGGACCCTGCTCCAGTCAGCTTCCTTGCTTGGTGCCCAGCTCCGCTGGTGACCCTGCCCACCTGGCCTGGTGGCCCAGAGCTTACCACACCATCAGGGACAGAGAACAGAAGGGCACACCATGCCCCCTTCAGCACATGGAGCACAAAGGAAGATGGGACAGGAAGTAGTCAGAAGGCTGCACACCTATAATCCCAGCACTTGGAAGGCTGAGGCAGGAGAATGGCTTTGAGTTCCAGGGCAGCCTGAACAACACAGTGAGACCCTTTCTCAAAATGAATAAATAAAAATAAAAAGCCCACACAGAAAAGTAGAATAGTGGAGAAAGGAAAATGAGACTTAAAAAAGAAAGAGAGACAAAGACAGAAGTTGAATCCAGAGGAATTCGAGAAAACCAAGTCTTGTCTCTGAATATCTCCCTGATCTCCATAGCTGCTTAAGACAGACCCCCAGAAAGAGCACCCACACTGAGATGGGCCTCAGCTTGCTGCAGAGGCACTGGTCAGCCGGCAGGGGACAAGGAGGGGGAGGCTGTGTCCCCAAGCCTGTGGGCTTGCAAGGACCACCCCGGGTCATGTCTACAAACAAAGCACTGCTCTGCCTTCCTGGCCTCGGCCAGCAGGCGGACCTGCCCTGAGGGGATCCCAGGCAACGCACCCACCTTCTGCCTGTCTTTCTAAAGCATTAGGTCCTGGGGAGTGGCAGGAAGCACTCTCAACAACAAATCGCTGTCCTAGGTCCTCTCCAAGAGGCAGGCACCTGCCTCCCGCCCCAGCCCCTGGCCAGCACTCACTGGAACTCAGAGAATGTTGCCAGCAGGTCCTCCGTCCTGAGCGCTGGCTCAAAGTCATAGATCTCCACCACGTGGGCCAGGTCCTTCTCCCCAGGCAGCTCCTCCATGAAACAGGATGCATCCAGCTGGGCCTTCTCTACCTGAATCTCCTTCTCCGTCAGGTTAGCTGTGATCTGGGAGTGATCAGAGCCCTTGGCAAGGGGAGCTGTGGTACTCAGGGGCCCAAACAGCTGCTTTCAAAACCACTCTGAAAGTTCTGCGGGGAGGGGGACAGCCCAGCAGGAGCCCCCAGCACAACCCCAGACAAAGGCTGGGAGATCAGGCTGCGGGCATTCAGGGGGGCGCTTCGTCTACAGAATCCCCACGGGGTGACGGCACCCACACTTCACGTCATCCTGAGGGCCACAGTGTGGACACTCACTTCCGAGAGGGGAAAACAGTGCAAACAGGAAGTCTTGTCCAGAGCTGCAGACAGGAGACGGAGCTGAGTGGTAAAGCCCAGGATGGTTCCTTCCCTCATGAACGAGGTGATGCTAAGCAAGTCTGCCCAATCTCTTATTTCTTAAGTACAAGACAGCAAAGGCGCCCACCCTCCCGATGGACCCGCAGACAAAATCAAGTAGGCACACAGTTGCAAGGAAATGCCATTTGTAAAGAAAAGCAGGCAGAGGGGGGTTTTCTTGAGTGCCTGGTGAGCACCTGGCTGTGCACTGCCTCCTTTACCCTGGAGGGATATATATTATCACTGTTTTATTTGTTGAGATGAGGAACAGATTGAGAAAAGCCAATTACTTGCCCAGAGTCGATCAGCTCCTGACTTACTGAGATGGGACCCAAGCTACACCTCCTACCACTCAGTCCCTGAACAGCCACTATCACCCAGCACCCAAGCCTGAGGCATCAGGAACGCCCCCACCCGCTAACCCAGGACCCTTTGTCCTCATCCACCTGCGGCCACACCCACCTCACTTCCACCCTCCCTTCTCTGGGCTCAAGGGCCTCATCACCTCCTGCAGCAGCTCACTGTAATCATCCTCAGAGCAGCTGCCCTGTTCTTCCTCGTCCTCCTTTTCTTGGTCCACCAGTCTCTGCTCCAGCTGACTTGCATCCTCCTCCTCCTCCTCCTCTTCCGGGGTTGGCTGCACACTGGACCCTAGCTGTGTGGCTCGCTCCACCCTACAGGACTTCCTTAAGGGACTCTCAGGCTCTGGGGGCTCAGTGTCAGCTGGCTCCAGCTGTGTTTCATTCTCCAAACTTTGGTCTGGACCCTTCACGTCCTCTGTTTCCTGAGTCATCAACATGGGGAGTCCTTCATCAGCGTCGGGGTCCCCAGCACCAGCATCTCTGGACTCTTCCGAGACTCCGCCCGCGGGGGCCTCTCCTTTGAGCCCTGGGGTGGAGGTCACTGCCCCGTCATCTTGCCTGCGCAGCACCCGGGGCACATACAAAGGCTGGTCTGGCTTGCGTCCACGATGCCATCGGCCGGCCCGTGCACCCACTCCATGGATGGAGGTGGGCCGAGGACCATGGTGTTTGCCGGGGTGGGTGGCAGGAAGGCGGCAGGGGTCAGAAGGGCCATCTGAAGTTGGTACTCTGGAGCAGAACAGGAGGAGGTGATCAGAGTGTGTCTGGGCCCACAGGGGCTGTCACTCAGGTGTGACACTGCCAAGTCAGTATTAGGTAGACTCCAAAGCCAAAATGACCTTCAACAACCCCTTAAGAAGGTGCCCTGGTTGAGGCAGAATGCCACCTCTGACAAGCCCAAGAAGCCAGTTTGCCTTCGGGTGCTAGAATCAAATCAGAGATCTCCCAAAGTTTATTCACACACCACATAGGGTAATTACTCCCACTGCAGAACTGTTATTAGAAAAACATGCAACTTTAAACACTAGGACCAGAGCCACTAGGCTAAGATGCTCATTCTGTGAGATGCGATTGGGAAGAGATGACTGACAGTGGGGCAGCGGCTGCCCTGTGCCATTTCTCTGGGGCACGGGCTGACCAAGAATGTGGCAGACCCATCCGCGTAGTGCCCAACATGAAGAGCCGAACTTGCCCAGTGAATTTCACAAGCAGTGCGTGTCTGCCGAAGCAAAGAGCGGCACTGACTTTACACCATGGGGATAGGGACAGAGATAGAGGCCGGCGGGCTCCCTGCCCTGTTCCTACCAAGCTCGACGCTCCCAGGGGCTGGCCAGCCAGTCCTACCACAAGGAGCCAAGTGCTGAGTGTGCTCGAAGGCAACAGGATACACACCTGACGTCCAGGTGGCAGATGACCGTCCTCCTCCTCCAGCCCTCACCAACAGAGAAACTGCTCAAGAGATCAAACTCTTCCGCTGTTCTATGGATCAGGTACCGAAGGCGACTGGACAGTGGGGGGAAAAGCAGAACCCTGGGAAGGGACCGGAAAAAGTGCTGGGGGATTGCTCCCAACCTGGGGCCTGACCCCTACCGGATCCACTCCTAGGTTAACACTGGCTTAATGCCAGGCCCGATCTGACCCACGGGTCCCAGGCCAGCCGCAAAGGACCTCAGCATAAAGTCATCCCTGGGAGCTATGCAGGCCCTTCAGTCTTGGGGTGATGCTGAGAATTTACAAAGCAAAGAAGCTGGGGCTGGAAGAGACTAGCGGCATTTGTTACTAAGGTGAAAGGTGAGGTCAAGGCCAGCTGCAAGCCAGTTGCCTGGGTGCAGCTCCCCGGGGGAGGCTACAAATCCTGCCCTTCTCCGAATCAAAGCGGCTCCCTCACACCCGCGTACTTTGACAGCTGCTTCTGCAGCAGGAAGCGGTCCAGCTCCTCCTGGACCCGGTGGACAAAGTCATTCTCAGCCGAGGATAAGAAGACACCGTCCAAACAGAGAAGGGCCAGGGTGACTGCTGAGAGAGCCTGCGGGGAGGTGGGCAGGGCCGGAGATCAGAGCCCAGGTCCTGGGCCGCCCCGGGCCCGAAGTGTTGGCGCCCAAAGGGCCC